CGCTCCGGCCGCCAAGAGATGGCGAGCCTCCAGTTATGGCGCCATAGCGGCAGGGACGGAGCCTCTCCCCGCTCCTAGAGACCCACCTGCCTTCTCACTGGCTCTCTCCAGGCCACGCCTCCACCCACGGGTGGGGAGGAGGGGGACCTTCCCAGCTGGGCTACTCAGACGTGTGTTAATGTCCTCTGGAAACACCTTCAGGGACACACCTGGAATCACTCTCCACCAGGGGCCTGGGGCTCCTTCACCCTGTCACTGCGCCCTTCTCAGTCCCGAGTCCTGGCCCTGCAGGGCCGGTGCGTTCAGGTCCCTTGGGAGCCTGGGAAGTTCTCTTGGCCGTCAGACGACTGGAGGCTGTAACTGAAGAGCACCCCTCTGGCCTCTGCCTGCTCAGGCCTGGTGATCATGCACCATTGTACCCCTCCTCAAGGTCATCGCTGCAAGGTGGGGCCTCATCCCGGAGGAGATGGGGCGGAGGTGGGGGCAGCCAGGGCCCTCATGGCCACCCACTTCCCGGATTTACAGATGGTGACACTGAGGGCCAGGGAGCTCAGTAACTGGGCGTAGGTCAGCGAAGCCTAGGGCTCTGTGATCTGCTGCAGGTGGAGGGTCATTGGAGCCTGGCCCCGCAGCCTAGGGACACCACCGCTGTTATGGTGACGCCATGTCCGTCACCCGGCACCCTGACCACAGGCAGGGCCCCAAGACGTCTCCCGGTGAGAAGCAAATGCCCTCTTCCCAGAGCTGCTTCCAAGGGCCAGCCCCACCCTTTGGCCTGGGCGTGCCGGCTCCCAGCCTGCAGCCCACTGCCCACCGCCTGCAGCCCGCCACCCACCACCCGCAACCCGCTGCCTGCAGCCCGCAGCTCAGGAGAGGAGCTGGGCTACCAGAGCTCCCCGAAGTCCCGGCGGCCAGGCAGGCAGTGCAGCTTCATGTCTTGCTTCTGGATGTACTTGTAGCAGGACTGCAGGGGACAGAGAGGCCGCAGTCACCATCCTGCCTGCTCCCGGCCACGCGCCAGCACCGGGGCCCTGTGGCAGGTGCAGCAACCGCCCCAGCCCGACCGTGTGCTCCTGACTCAGCGTGCAGCCAGTCTGAGGGAGATGGGCCTCCCCGCTCCTGTAGGACATGGGGACATCGCCTGGGGAGGTCAGGGCTTGGGGTCCTCAAGGCTGGGATGCACTGGGGGGCCCTCCCCAGCCCCCTGGCCCCAGAACTGCCCAGAGTAGCTGTGGGCACCCTTCCTACAGAAACACACATGAGCTGTGACTCTGGACGCACCCCCAAGGGGGCCTGGGGGCATTTCCCCTCCTCCCCCCGCCCCCGCGCTCACCTCCAGGGCTGTGAGCAGGAAGTCGTACAGGCCTCCCGTGTGCGAGGGGTCCATCATGTCCCGGATCAGGTGGATCTCGGCTCCCAGGTGCTGGATTCTGGAGACCCGGCACCCGGGGGAGGCAGAGGAGGGGAGGGGCTGTCATGGACAGGTGCCACCAGCTGGGGAGGAGCCCTGGCCTGGATGGTGGGTCCCTGGCTCCGGAGGGCGGCTCACACTCTGCCTTTGGCACCTCGAGGACCAGGGGTGGCACAGAACCCTCCCCGTCCTGGGCCTCAGCTTCCCCATCTGTGCCGAGAAAAGCCACATGGGTGACCCCTGCTGTCCGGCCTGGGCGTTGGCAAGCACCTGGGGTGGTGGGCTGGGGGGACGCACCGGGCCCGCGATACCACGTAGACCAGCAGTGGCAGCAGGTCGTCCATGGGCAGCTTGTGCTCCCGGCCCAGCACACATGACACGGTGGCCTCGATTTCTCCATACGTCCTCTCCAGCACCTGCAGCTTCTCCCAAGGGTCCACTGTGGTCCTGCAGCGGGGCAGCCGGCTCCAGGTCAAGGCCCCAGCCCCAGCCCCTGTGCCCCCCGAGGGCCACACTCACATGATCTTCTGCAGGCACTCCGTGGCCGACCGGAAGCACTTGTCCTTCACCAGGGAGCATCGCTGGGTGGCAGGGGAAGCGTCGGTGGAGCGATGCCCTGCCGCCCTCTGACAGCCCCCTTCCCAGCCCTGGGCTGGCTCCTTGTCCCAGCCCCCCATCATGGGCTTCCACATGGCCCTGCCCTGACCCTGCCACTGTGGGCCCCCCATGTGACCATAAAACAGAGTCTGGCTGGGAGGATCAAACGGCAAAGAAGACAGTAATGGTGACAGCCCGGTACCCGGGAACCCCCAGGTCTGCCTTGTCAGCCAGCGCCATGTAAACCCAAGGTCCGGCCCACACCCTCGGGGTCCACGTGGGTCCCCCCGGATGCGTCCTTGTGGCCCACAGTGCGGCGTGATGCTGGGTCGCTCCGCTGGGGCAGGGCCCTGCTGAAGCCTGAGATAGGGGAGCAGCAGGGAGCAAGGGGCCAGCCTGGCCTGGGGAGGAGGGGTGCCAGGGTGGGGGGCTCGCCCGTCCTTCCTGAGGACTCTGTGGGCCTGCTGCCGCCGTCTGACTAGCGCATTTCAAGAGCCACCGCTCCATAGGGTAGTCCTGGCACTGCTCCCGCCACCAGGGGAACTGAGGCGGCTCGGTCTTGCCCGCGACTGCAGCTGGTCCTTGTGGCAGTGGCTGCAGCCTCCCCCCTCCCCGGTCAGGTGACGGGCCTGACCTCTCACCTGGTTGGTCGTCAGCGTGAGGTCCTTCAGGGGCCACATGTGCCTGGAATTGGAAAAGTGGGCCTGGAGGCCTTGCCAGGCTAGGGGCAGGACCGGAGCTCAGAAGTAAACCCCCATGTCACTTTGTCCCCCCAGGGCCGAGTGCAGGGATGGGGGAACAGGTCCACGGTGGCATCTCAGTGGAGCCGGCCAAGGGAGGCCAGGGAGTTCCTGAAGAGGGCACCTGCATCTGGCCCCAAAGCATGAGCCCCAAACTTGGGTGGTCAGGAGGGGAGGGTGCACTCTGGGGCTCGCAGGGGCAAGGACACCGGACGGTCCTGGGAGGGTGTAAATCACTCGTGTCTGTTGCCATGGTTTTCACCACAAGGGGGAGCCGGGAAAGAGCCCCAGAGCACAAAGGTGCTTCCCTTTGCCATGAGGTTGAGCACCTAGATCCAGCCGCACCTGAATGCACTGTCCTAGAACTTGTGGGCACACGGGACAATGAGCTCTGTCTCCTTTTGGCAGGAGACGGTCGGAGCTGAGCGTGCAAGGGCCCGGGCTAAGGCAGCATGGGAGGCTTACTTCTGCACGTCCAGGAACTCCAGCAGCTTGGTGTCGGGGAAGAGGCTCAGGTTGGCGATGCCCTGGCTGTACAGCCCGTCCTCCCGCTCATGCAGAAGCAGATAGAGAGTGAAGAGCTCCGAATAGAAGCTGGGCAGCACAAGGGCCAGCACCAGCCCCTGCACCTGCGGGTCCCTGGGCGAGACACAGCCGGGCCGGGTCAGCAGGCCTGGGCCTGGGCCGGGGGTCACTGCTCATCACCACTCAGGCTGCCCTCAAAGAGCCCACGGACTCCCAGCCCCACTGCAGCGCCCTGCACCAGCCCCCTCCCTGCCTCGGGAAGCCCTGTGCAGCCTGCTCTCAGCCACGGTGCGCCCGTGTGGATGTCCGTGGCAGGTGTTGTTGATGCTGCTTCATTTCTTGATCATGTGACGTTCAGAAGCAACGCTTAACCTATCAGTTATTTGCCAGTCACCACTTCTTTCTCTAGAAATACTGTCTTCATTCGTTTCTCTGTCTCCACAGTCTCTTCATTTTCTTCCTATCTCATCGTCTAGTCTTCTGTCTCCTTTCATTTTTCTTCATCTCCCCAGTTTATTAGTATCGGAATGCCCCCAAGCACAGATTTCTTCTGTTCTCTCTCTTGTTGATCACATCCATATTTCATGCATGTGAAATATTACTCACATGCATGCCACTCAGACACATGTATACCACCTAGACCTCGCCACTGAAGTCTGTATTGGATAGCCACGTACTCGCTGGATTTCTTCCCCTCCACACACAGCTTTATCGAAGAGTAATTGACATATGGTAACTGCACATATATAAATCTACAATTTAATGAGTTTTGACATATATGTGTGTCTATATGCGTGTGTGTGTGTGTCTCTGAAACCACCATCGCCAAAGTATTGGACCCATCTGAAACCTTCCTGTGCTGATTTAGAATCCATCTCTACCTTTTTGTCTCCATTACGGTCACAAATCTGTTTCCTGTCACTGTGGCTTAGTTTGTTTTTTTCTTTCTAGGATTTTATCTAAATGTTAGTATATAGTATTTTTCCTTTTTTGGTCTGGCTTCTTTCATTGACCATAATTATTTTGAATTTCATCCATGTTAGGTATTTTAATAGTACATTTCTTTTTATCATTGAGTAGTAATCTGTCTATGGCTATATAAGGGTTTTTTTTATTTTAAGAGTTATTTTATTTTCATTTTAATTATTATTATATTCTAATTTGACCAGAGAGAGGCAGAGAGAGAGAGAGAGGGGAAGTGAGAAAGCAAGCCGCCAGGTCTTGGACTAGAACCGTGGTTGGTCACGTGGGAGTGTCCAGCGCCTTAACCACCACACACCTGCTGGCCCCCAAGGGGGCAGAGTTTTAATGACCACCCCATCCTGCTCTGTGTGCCCTGGCTCGTCCCTACCAGGCCTCAGTTTCCCCATGTGCAGGAGAAGGAGGGCGCCTCTGGGAGCTGTTCACCCTCCCGCACCCGGAGGTGAGGTTGGGACGACACTTAGGACAAAGACGCTTTCAAAGCATCGGCAGTGCCCCCTCCCTGCTGCTCCCAGGACGAAGGCCACAGGTCATTCCAGTCCACAGATGATCAGTGAACCATGACAGCCAACCACGTGAATGCCCCCCCCCCCGAACCCCACGGCCCCAGGGCCCCACGGCCCCACAGCCCATGGAGGACAGACGATACCTGGTTTCTGTGTCTTCCTCCTCCTCCGGGGCCTGGCCCCGGCGCTGTAAGGCAACCCGCAGCAGACCCCTGCAGAGGCGGGAGAGGGACAGCAGGGCTGTCACCTCCCTCCGAGCCACAGTGTCACCCTCTCCTTCACCCAAGGGGACAGCAGGTGGCTGTCACTCCCAGAACGGTGGATGCAGATGTTGGCCTAGAGACTGTTCTCTTAAGCCGTGGCCTTAGAAGGCTGGAGCTGCAGGAGGCCAGCAGAGAGCCCTGGAGCCCCCAGTGGAAGGGACACAGCACCTGACACACCTATGTTAACATCTGGGGGTGACACTCGGCCTGGGACCGGGGTGGGGCCAGCGCCCAGGGTCAGGCCCAGCCTCCAGTGGAATCAGATCCCCAGGACAGGGCCCACCTGAGGCCTGGTTGGCTGGCGTCTAGTCATCTAGCCGAGGGCTGCAGCCAGGCCCTCCTCAGCAGCTGCGTGGAGCCAGTGGACGGGGCGCCTGGGAGAGGCAGCCCCTGCCCCAGGCACCGGCTGCCCACAGTGGGAAGGGTGCCCCGCGCGGCCCGGCAGCGGTGCGCTCACCTGTAGGCGGCCTCGAGCTCCTGGGCGTGCTGCCTCACCTCCTCCTGCGCCAGCGCCTGCAGGTGCTTGTTGGCCCCCATGCCCGCGTATGTGGCCTGGAAGGCGAGCATCAGCCGCCGCAGCAGCTTCCCCAGGGGGTGCAATGAGTGACCTAGCGCCTGGCCGGCATGGAGAAACGGAGACCCCGATGTGGCCTCCTGGATGAGGCTGCTCCTGTTTCACAGGTGGGCACACCCGGGCTCCCGTGGGTATGAACCCTCCCATCACCCCCTGCTAGGAGAAGCAGGCGTCCTTCCTACTGGGCTGTGAGGACAGCTCCTCCTCTGTCCCCTACCCCCAGGAGCCTTACCTTCCTGAGGTACTGCCGCAGGGCCTCGGGCTCCCGGTGCTGCAGCACCTCCTCCAGGATGTCCTCCATGCTGCCCGCACTGTTTTTCAGGGGGGTCCTGGGGCACAATGCAGTGTCCCTCACCTACACCCAGGCCCAGGCCCTCTCCCAGGAAGCCTTCCTCTCCCAATCACACTGACCCCGAGCTGCCCTCCGGAAGCCCCCATGCACACACGCACGCACACACACCTGGGCCTCACCTCTTGCAGCGCAGGCTCTCCTGGGACTGGTGCAGCTCCCTCGAGCTCTGTACATCGAAGCCCAGCAGGGCCTCCTGCAGGCCCTCAGGACAGCCGGCGCCCACGAAGTGCCAGAAGGGGCTGTAGATGCCCTGCCAGCGGCTCTCCACGGGGAAGGCACCTAGACCCAGCTGCCTGAGGCGGGGACGGGGCAGCGAGAAGCCTGGGCTGGGATGGCTCCGTGGTGGGCAGGACCCCGCCCAGGCTCTTGGAGAGGGGAGAGGCCCAGCCCAGGGTCAGGCCCAGGAAGGGTGGCTGGGTTGGGGTGTGCAGATGGGGTGGGCTTCCAAGGCTGCAGGAGGAGGGAGAACAGAGGGTCTGCCCTGCAGGAGGGACGGGCAGGGTCCTGGAAGGCAGAGGCAGCGAGGCAGGCAGAGCTGCGGGCTAGAGGCCAAGTTGGAGAGTGGACTCTGCCCAAGAGAGACTACCGTCTGGAGCCCGGGGTTCCCCTGCATGCACCCCCTCCAGCAGCTGGTTCCTGCAGTCGACCCCATCTTGGCCACCAGGCCGGGATTTGGCTCCACTGTGTCTAAAGGACCCTAATGCAGCCCTGCCCTCCTGCCTCGTGCTCGCAGGTTATCCTGAACCCCATGGGCGAGGGCCTGTCCCAAGGGCCTGCCATCCACTCGCATCTCCTGCTGTCAGAGAAGCAGCAAGCAGGACGATGGGTCAGGGAGCCAAGGTATCCACTGTTTGCTTCTGCAATGTTGCCTGCGACTACTCGCCATTAGAACTGCCACCCACGAGGGTCCTCTCATCTGTGTGACACCCAGTCTTCCTCCACAGACGTGACAAGAGTCACCACTCGAACTACAGTTTTATAAGGAGGAACTTTGTCCCTGTGGGTGAAGAGGTCTAGCTCCCTGACATCTACCCCTCGATAGTGAGAATAATTCTAAGTAGCAAGTGTCCTTTTTCTCCTTGGTTACCAGGGAACTCAGCCAGGCTAACACTCAGTTATAACCATAGCAGGGTCTACTGCATATCCTATTTTGTAAAGGTCAATGCACACTTCTATTTTCTATTTTCTTACATATTTGGTTGGAAAACAGTCTTACATGACTTATAAAACAAAGACTAAAAAGCAGGACCCAAAGGAAGCCTATAAGTGATACTTCCCCCCAGTTTTCTCCACCGAGCCCTCATCCCAAGTCTCTGAGTGGAGGGCTGCATGCCCTGGCCTCTCTAACTGTCTGAAGTGCTAAGGGCGGGGGTGGCAAGGGGCCCTTGGATGAAACCTGATCAGCCCTTGGGTGGAAACGCAGACCCACACAGACACCCCGTCAGGACCAAATGGCCGAGCCAGGTGCGCCGAGCTCTTACCGCGTGCAGATGTTTTCCGGAGCCGGCGGGAGGGCGGACGTGTCCAGCAGGCCCTGGGTGCGCAGGCCTCTGGCCCAGGTGCTGAATGAGCCCTCCAGGGTGAAGCCATTGGGGAAGGTCACCTTGCCCTGTGAGCCAGGGCCAGAGGCAGAGGTGTCCATCTGTCCAGTTGCCCCTCCATCCCATCACGACGCCCTCTGCCCGCCTTTCTCGGTCAGAGAGGCTGGGGCTGCAGTGGGCTTCCCACAGCTGGGCGGTCTGCCCACCCCGAGGGGCTCCGCCATGACAGCTGTGCCCACCTGCCGGGAGGAATGGGAAGAAGGGGGTGCACAGGAAGGAGTGGGGGGCCACCAGAGACAGGCCAGGGCCCAGGAGGGGCGGCCCCCACCATCTATGCCGGCAGCACCCTCCCGAGTTTCCAGAGCCCCCAGCAGGGGCGTGGCCGCACTGCTGGGTCAGCCCAGGTGAGAGGGTACCGAGAGACGGCGGCTCCAGGGGCGCCACCAAGGCCCTGGTAGTGGAGAAGGGTGTACAGGTCGAACCAGGGAGGTACCTGGGGGACACACAGGCCACCAGCACCCTCTGGGCACAGGGCGCGTCTACGGGTCCCCTCTTGGCTTAGTGAAATCACAGAGACCCTCCCCCGCCTCTGCTGACCCGCAGCCCTGGATCTGGCAAGATGACAGACGCCAACCGAGGCTTTGGCAGGGGTGGGGGTCACGGTGCCCTCACCTTCCCCGTGAGGGTCAGGTCCCTGGTGAAGGTACCCTCGTACAGGGAGTCATCTTCCGAGAGGAGGATGCCCGGGCCCTAGGGAAGGAACCCAGAGAGTAGGATGGTGGGCCCGGGGCAGCAAGAGAGGGGAGCTGGGCGCTGACCCGTGGGAGAGGGGCCCAGGCCCATTGCCCACTCCGGGCAGTGCCTTGTGGGACCCTGGGCCCGGGACAGGTGAGCCCCAGCCCTGTGGGCCTCATCCCCGGGTTTCCCTGGACGAAACCCTCAGAGCTGGCTCCTTGCCCAGCGGCCCCTTCAGGAAGTCCCTGGGAGCTCAGGAGGTGCTGGGCTTTCTCTGAGCCACCCCTGGGCCCCTGACCCTGGCCGCCAGGAAGCTCACAGGAGAGAACTTGCAGCCAGCTTACTGCTGAGCCTATCGGGCGCCTGTTCTTGCCTCCGCTCACAGGTCGGCCTCCTTCCTCCCTCTCCACAAGCCCTCTGAACGCTATTGCCGCCAGGCCAAGCCCACAGGCACCGAGCACTCGGCAGGTGTGGCTGGGG